ATGTGGATGGAAGCCTGGGAGGTAAGTTGAAATGGAAGTCAAAGGTGTGGCTGCCTGCCCTTAACCAATTATCTGTAAGCAAAACACACCGAGGCCGTGCGTGAGAACCTTCCAGAACCTTGTCTGGTGGCAGCACTGGGGCTGGGGCTAACCACTGACTAACACCCCCATGTTTTTATTGATCGACATGGGACCTCCTACCTTGTCTCCTTTTCTTTCTTTCTTTTTTTTTTTTTTTGTTTTGTTTTGTTTTTTGGTTTTTCGAGACAGGGTTTCTCTGTGGCTTTAGAGCCTGTCCTGGAACTAGCTCTGTAGACCAGGCTGGCCTCGAACTCACAGAGATTCACCTACCTCTACCTCCCGAGTGCTGGGATTAAAGGCATGTGCCACCACCGCCCGGCTCTTGCCTCCTTTTCTTGTGAACTTATTTTTCTTTTCTTTTTGGTTCTTTGAGACAGGCTTTCTTTGTGTAACTGTGGCTATCCTGGGACTCGCTCTGTTGGTTGACTAAACTGACCTCGAACTCAAGAGATCCGCCTGCCTCTGCCTCCTGAGTGCTGGGATTAAAGGCATTGTGCCACCATCGCCCGGCTTGCCTCTTTTCTTTTTTTCTTCTTTCTTTCTTTCTTTTTTTTCTTTTGGTTTTTTCGAGACAGGGTTTCTCTGTGGTTTTGGAGCCTGTCCTGGAACTAGCTCTTGTAGACCAGGCTGGTCTCGAACTCACAGAGATCCGCCTGCCTCTGCCTCCCGAGTGCTGGGATTAAAGGTGTGCGCCACCACCGCCCGGCTTGTTAACTCTTTTAATGAAGAAAATACTTCCTGACACTCGGCTTAGTGGTACAGTGTTTCTCTGTAGCTTTTGTGCCTGTCCTGGAACTAGCTCTTGTAGATCAGGCTGGCTAAGAACTCACAGGCTCTGCCTGCCTGTATCCCCCAAGTGCTGAGATTAAAAAACTGTACCACTACCGCCCAAATGTAAAACCTTTTCTTAAAAACAAAACAAGGTGCTGGAGATGGCTCAGCGGTTAGAGCACTGGCTGTTCTCACAGAAGATCAGGGGTCAGTTCTCAGTGCCCACATGGCAGTTACACCAGCTGCAACTCCAGTTCCTGGGATATAATGTTCTCTTCTGATCTGGGGAACCAGGTACATGCATGATGTTTAGACAGATACACAGGCAAAATAGTCATGCATATAAAAAAAGAAATATAAAAATATTACAAAACAAAACCAGGGCATGATGAAGCATGTTGTTTTTTTTTTTAATTTTACCCAGTTTCCCCTCCCTCCCTTTCTCTTGCCGCCCCCCATCTCCTCTCCTGGAGCATACTCTTTTTTTTTTTTTAAGATTTATTTATTATGTATACAGTGTTGTATCTGCATGTATATCTGCACGCTAAAAGAGGGCATCAGATCCCATTATAGATGACTGTGACCCACCATGTGATTGTTGGGAACTGAACTCAGGACCTCTGGAAGAGCAGCCAGTGCTCTTAACTTTTGAGCCATCTCTCCAGCCCTGGAGTACACTTTTAACCCCAGCACTTGGGAGGCAGAGGCAGGAGGATCTCTTTAAGTTTGAGGCAAGTCTGACCTACAGAGCAAGTTCCAGGACAGTCAGGACCACATAGTAAGATCTTGTCTCAAAAAATCAAACCAAACCAAATCCTAAATTTGGAAACCCTATGAACACCCACAACAACCCGGTAACACAGTTTGGGAAGGAAACAGAGTTCCCAGGATGCTTAGGTGAAGTGATGTGGGGAACCTAAGGACTTCCCACCGCCAGGTCCCACCCACAGAACACTCCAACTGCCCCAATGGCTGTACCCAGCCCCTGCCCTACAGAGTGAAACAACCTAAGCTCTGGACTTGAAATCCTACCCCCACCCTGGAAAGCTCCAAGAAACTCTGTATAAACCTGCCTTCTTTCCTCGCAGTCTCGTATGTGAGGTTTGTTGTGCAGTGTGACTTTGTGGTATTCCTTGGCTCCTGATTGCCAGGATACCTTTCCGTCTGAGCCATAATAATTACATATGCCAGAGCTGGGTTGGTTGGACTGAGGACTTTGTCCTGAGTGCTGTCTTCCCCTCCTCCCAGGTGACCTTCAGGACCCCTTTCCTGGGTCTCCTTGAGTCTTAGTACCAGAGGGAGATGTTCATGAAAGTTGACAGGAATGATTTCTTAGAGGGCCTCCCACAGCTGTTTGTGGGACTGAATATATTACCTTCCAAGAGGTCATTTTGGATGTCTCTGTCCTGTTTGGTTCCCACGTCTTCGTATCTTCACAATGGTCATGATTTAACATGACTTCCCTCTACCTATCTCCAATCCATGTCATGATACTCCCAAGGGATTGTTGATTGACTAGCGGATGTGTTTGCCTTTCTGCCCCCAGCTGCTTGCTGCATCCTTACCTTTTATTGGGAATGTCTTTGTTTTATGTACGTAATCTGCCTTATTATTGCAAATAACATCTCTGCTATAATCACGGGTCTCTCCAATTTCTTCGTTCCATTCAACGTAACCTCTACCGACGAGCTCTACTTTCACAACAGGGTCCACAAGGGTACTGTTGAGGGTGAGGACCACCTGCCCGTCTATGTTCGAGCCGGCCAGGTAGACTGCATCTTTGGGCAGTACTACCTCGATGGACTTCACCACAGACATGGGAGGTTGGGCGGGGGGAGACACATCCTTCCCCTCCCCCGAGTGCCACCCAGCTCCCCGTGGGCGCCTCAGCTGTGGTGACCTCTGTGACATCACTACACCCAGAGTTCTGGAAAGGAAGACAGGTTCTCTGCTAGCCTAGGCTGGCCTTGAGCTCTTTCTGTGTCCAAGGATGACCTTGAACTCCTGATCCTGCTGCTGCAGTGTCTGGGACCATCGCTCCCCAGTCCTGACTTTTGCTTCCTAGGACGGCATAGAAAATAGAAACCCTCCAGTCTGTCACCACATCAACTTAGGATGCCAAGGCCGGAAGCTGCCTGGACAACTTTGTGTGAAGTTTGAAGTAAAATAAGCCAGAAGGCTTGGGGGGGTTATGCCTTTAATCCCAGCACTTGTGAGGCAGGAGGATTGCCAAGTTTGTGATTGGCCTGGGGCACGTAGTGAGAGTTTCAGGACACTGAGGCCCGAGTCAGAGGTCCTGATGCTCCATGGGAAGATCCTGTTCATTGTCCGTGGTCTGTCTTGACTTGCCTTGTGTGATTGCTTTTGTAGACAGTGACATCATGTCTCCCTGTTTTATTATTTAAATAAACATTTAAATTATTTACTTACTTATTTACTTATATGTGTGTGGCCACGTGCACGTGAAGGCTGGAGCTCATGGAAACCAGTGTCTTCCACTATTTGTGTCCAGTGATTGAACTCAAGTAATCCGGCTTGGCAGCAGGTACTCTACCAGCTGAAGCCACCTTGTATGCCCTAGTTTTTTTTTTTTTTTTGTTTGTTTTTTTTGGTTTTTCGAGACAGGGTTTCTCTGTGGTTTTGGGGCCTGTCCTGGAACTAGCTCTTGTAGACCAGGCTGGTCTCGAACTCACAGAGATCCGCCTGCCTCTGCCTCCCAAGTGCTGGGATTAAAGGCGTGCGCCACCACCACCCGGCTATGCCCTAGTTTTTAATGTTAATTATTTTATTGTTTGCATTTTGGAGACAGGGTCTCATATAGTCCAGACTGGCTTGGGATTTGCTCTGTAAGGGAAGATGACTTTGAATCCCTGGTCCTCCTGCCCCTACTTTCCCAGTGCTAGGGTGCCAGGTGTGTGCTGCCAGGCTATGCGGTATGGGAAACCCCTTGCCGCCACACATATAAAGCCTACCTCACTGGGGAAGGCCCTTTCCCCAGATCTTAGAGATGAGGGCCTGGATACTGTTGGGGTCACAGGGAGACACTTCAAACATCTTTGGAGGGACAACCTTGTATGAGCTCCCCAAGATGTGCCAGGTGTGGAAGTGTACCTCTGTTAGCCCAGAATTAAGAAGGTGGAGGCTCTGGAGTTAAAGTCATTTTTGACTACAGAGCAAGTTGGAGGCTAGCTTGGGCTATGCGAGACCCTGTTTCTAAAAACAAAAACAGTTAAACAAAAATTGGAAGTCTTTCTGTTAAGGACCTCCAAGGCAGAGTAGGAAAGGACAAAGTCCTTCCCAGGGCCTCTGAGGTCTTACCTGTTCTTTGCCCAGCCCCGGGGCCTCCTTGGGCACCCCTACCCTAAGCCTTCTCCACACCCCATGTGTCCTTGCCGTCCCAGAGGGTGGCTGCTGGTCACTTCTGACCTCATGGCTTGTGGTTGTACTTGGAATTGTCCTCTGAGACTTACTGGTTTTCTTCTTGTTTGGTACCGTAACCAGAATTTGCTTTGCCAGAGACCCCACATGCTGGAGCGAAGGTTTGGACCCCGCAGCTTTGGTCTCTCTGTTCATCAGTTCCTGAAGATGCCCAGTGACTGCCAAGGATGGTCAGAATGGAGCAGGCCTGGGCGGAGGGGGCAGGGAGGCGCTGCCTGCCTGGACAGCTTGCAGAAGGCGGGGAGGGGGGGACGACGACGACATACCAGGCAGAAAAGAAGCCCCGCGGGTGGGTAGTATGGGGTGGGGGAGTCACTAACAGCGCCCTGATGTTACTCAAGGTGCCTGGGGATGCTCAGGATATGGGGTGCAGGATGTCTGGAGGGGACGCACCCCTCAAGTTCTCCTGGGGTATGCGGCCAAAAATTGGGGTCTTAGATTTGAGAGATCAAAGTGTGTCCAGTCGAGGGCGAAAGGGTATGTACTGAGGTCAGGGGTGTCTCTAGGGGGGCAATCCCTCCGAGGATTCCTAAGCATGCCAGGGGACCTGGGCCTTCTTGGTAAACTGGGCACAGCCTGCTGGGCGGAGCCGGCGGTGGGGTAGATACTCAGTCGTGGGGACGCCCCCACTGTCTTTCTCGCTTCCCGCCACAGCGCGAGCCAATCAGGAATCAAGAGCCCGCCCCTCCACCCATTAGGGTGGCAGAGTTTCTCGCAGCAGCCTTTGGACACTTCTGAAAACGCCCTGAGTTTTCGCGGGAAAAAAAAGAAACTCCTAGCAGCTGGAAGGATCGCGCGCTCCCGGGCTCATTCAGGTCCTCTGCCACGCACGCGGCTTCCTCCTCGGTCACCCAAACCCAGAGCCCTAACCAGGAGCAGGCACTCCAGGCCTGAGTACAGTCCGGATCGCAGCCGCGGGAGAGGTGAGTGGGAGAGCGGGCTGTGCGCACACAGAGGCACGGCCGGGCGCAGCGCAAAACTGCAGAGTACTTTTCACGCGTGGCCACTGGGCTTACTTCAGGGGATCGGAGGTCTTCCAGTCTTACACGCGGAACCTCCTGCCTGGCTAGCCGCACAACGTTGGGGGGGGTTGGAGGGGACTTTGCAAACTTTCCCGCGCGTGGGATGAGATTTGCAGAGAGCCATCGCCCACGCGTGCTTCCGCACCGCGTGTGAGGGGAATCCGAACTGTATCTTCCATGTTGGATCCCCATTTCTGGCCCCGCAAACACGATTACATCCCAAAACTTGGCAAAATTTTCCCGCGCGTGGCTCTGGGCTCGGCAGAGAGCCACTGCGCATGCGTGCTTCTCTGTCCGTTGAGGGGTAACTTGAGGGGCGTCTTTCATGCTGCACCCGATTTTTGACCCTCCCGGGTGCCGCTGAGTCCGCGGGAAACGCGTGGGGTATAGCGGGGGAGTACACGCGGCTCCGCGCCTGCGCGCGGACGCTCCCCGCGATTCAATTGTCGCGCCTGAGTCGGGTTTCGCGCGCCCTGGCTTCTCAGAGTCCATTTTGGCCAATTGTGTGCGAGGTGGGCGGGGCAGACAACCCGGGAGGAGCCAATCAGCAGCGGGCTCTCTGGAAGGGCGGAACTTAAACGGCGCGGCTCCGGGGGTCCGACCCTGGCGGCAGCGGAGGGTGTGGGCGTGGGCTCCGGGCCTCAGAGGTCTTTAAAGCGCCGTCCCAAGAGGCCAGGGTTGGTATCCCGGGAATTGGTCAGGGTAGTCAGCCGCGCGTGGGGCCCAGGTGAGTTTCTAGCCACGCGCGCGCGAGGGTGACCGGCCCGGGACTGCCGGTTGCCATGGCCACGGCGGGGGGGGGCCTGCTCCGCGCACGCGCGCCGGGGGCACCGGCCCGGAACTCCGGGGGGAGTCCCGAGTGGTGTCTGGGGTGGGGGTCCTGACTTCTATGACCGAGTTCCCTCACCCGGGACTTGAGAAGTTCTGGTCCGTTTCGAAGTTGGCGAGTTCCCGTTACTGTGGAATGAATGAATGAATGAATGGATGAACGAATGAATGAGTAACTGCGACCACTCTGCCTGACCAGGCAGGCCTTTCTTTCGCCACGGGTATTACTTTTTTTTTTTTTTTGCTTCCCCCTCTTGGAAGACATGGTGGATTGTCTTGGATCACCCAGTATATCTTTGGCGGTCCATGCTCAAGTGTCCCCACTCACTGGTCATTAAAATATTAAGCGCCTAATTTACGCCACCTGGTCTTCCAAGGCGCAGTCTGGCCGAGTAGAGGGGCCAGGACGCCAGGAGATTGATCTTGGGAGTTTCTTCTTGCTCAGTCAGATGTAAAGAAAGCTGCTGGGGCGAGGGACCCCACTTCCTGCCTACAGACCGGCCGCACTGACACAGTCCCCACCCTTTTCTCTATCCCTTCAGTGTATCGTCACCATGTGGATCCAGGTCCGAACCATGGATGGGAAGGAGACCCGCACCGTGGACTCCCTGTCTAGGTTGACCAAAGTGCAGGAGCTGAGAAAAAAGATTGCGGAGATGTTTCACGTGGAACCCCAACTGCAGAGACTCTTTTACAGGGGGAAACAGGTAAAGTGGCCTCCCCAGCTTTCCATCCACCCACCGAGCTTTGTCCCAGGCACCCTGCCTCTCAAAGCCACCAAGCAAGAGTGCTCCCCCCCTTGTCAGTTGCTTCAGATGCTGGGGGAAGGGTGAACAAAGGCTGGTCTCTGTGCTGCAAGACTTGCTACCTTTTTAGTTGTCCTTTAAAGTCTTCTAAATAATTTTTCTTGAGAAAAAAGCTTAAGTGGCCAACAGAGGGCTCCAGGGGGTTACAGAGTAAAGTTTCTCCAACAGTCTTCACGTACGAGCAGTGAGAGATTTTCCTTTTGAAATCCACCGTGATAGCCCACAGCTTGCTCCCATGAGACATTAAACCTCCCGTGGATCCACTTCACTCATGAATTAGAAATTTCATTCAAGAACGAAGAAATAAAAAAAAAAAAGAAATTTCATTCAATTAGGCTTATGGGAAAAGGGGTAGTGGTTAGCCCCTTGTTGTTGCACCTCTCTACCCCCTTTTTGTCCAGCTCTCTGGCCTTCAAAATGGCCATCTTTATAGCCCAGCTGCCCGCGTTGGGAATGGTTATCATTGGCACCTGGCTGGGCCTTTTTTTTTAATTGGCATCTTGCGGTGCTGTGAGTAGCATGTGCCAGCATTGGGATCTCTGGTGTAGGGTACGTGCCTGCAGGGGTTTTTTTGGAGTTGGGTGCACTGCAGCCAGTGGCGAAGGGTCCTAAGTAGATCAGAAGTCCCTGTTTTCACAACCTGTACCGTCTTTGTCCCTGGGCAGGGCACTGCCGCCCTCTGGTGTCCAGGTTCATTTCCTTAACTGGCTGTGCCCTGGTGATGGCAGTTTGGCTGTGCCTCCCCGCCCCCAGTCATGGAGTTTCCTTGGCGCATCTGGGTGGTGTGTGGGAACCATGTCTGATTAGCCGTGTGTCTCTCCTGGAAACTATAGTTGGTCAAGTGTACATCGGGTCTGAAAGACAAACTTTAGTAGCCTTACCCCTGCAGAGATTCCACCCCATCCCCTTGGCTTTCTGCTGGCACCTCTGCCTTTTGTCAAGTCATTGAGCTCGCTTCCTCCTGGGACTGTCTCAGCTGGTGGAAATGATTGTCAGGTTTTGAGACAGGGTTTCAGGGTTTCACATAGCCTAGGCTGGCCCTGAACTTAGAACCACCTGCCTCTGCCTCTCAAAGGTGACCAACCGCATCCCTGCTACTGCCTGATCCCTTTTCCTAGCTCCCTTCATGCTGCCGCAGGTGGTGGCTTCTGAGGCAGCTGCAGCAGGCCATGGGAAGGGAGCCAGGGGCTGGGGAAAGGCCGCTTCTGTGGTGCTTGACGGCAACAGAAACCATGCAAGTAGGTCCTTCTTATGGAAGGTTCACGGTGCCCTGACTTTTTCCTTATTTCTTGTGGCCTGACTTCAAAGCTAAAAGGAGCAGGCTGGTGTCAGGGAGTTGGTGTGTGCTGGCCCCTCCTTATCTCTGAGCAGGGTGGTGGGTAAGTGGGATGCTGGGCATTGTCCCTGCCAGGGAAACATGATATGTGTCTGGTAGATGGATTGTTTTCTTAAAACCCCCCGTGAAATATGCCGAGCATGTGCAGACTTTAACGTCGCTTAACTTCCTTGCTCCTCTCTGTTCAGGGACAGCTAACTCTCATGTCCCGATAGCAAGCATGGCTGGCCGCTTGTCACCGCATATGGTGATGTGTTATGGGTTCAGCAGGTCCTGACTCGGTGATGGAGGAACCAAAAATCAGCCAAGGGTCCTCACGCCAGGTCCCCACTGTTCGTTCAGTCTCCAGACATCACCAGGAGTCCTCTGGGATACTTCTCTTTCTCTTTATATCCTTTGGTTTCATGGGTGATTGAGGTCAGCCATGCTGAGAGTGTTGGTCCGGCGCTTGCCCGGAATGCACAAAGCCTGGAGTCCACCCAGTCCAGTACCCAGCAAATCTGTCATTCCAGCACTGGGCCAGTCTTCTCTACCTGTGGAGTCCAGGGTCAGCCTGGGCCATGGCAAAGTGAAGCCTTGTTCCTTCACAAAAAAAAAGTCTTGAACAAAGTGGTTGGACCAAGGCCCGACTCAGACTGTGGCCCCAGAGCCATTTCCTTGCAAGATTAACTTGAAAGGTGCCATCCAGGATCATGTGACAAGCCAAGTAAAGGCAAGTCTCCTACCCCCTTCGCTGGAGGCACAACAGCAGACCTCCCAAGAGTGGACAAAAGCCACCAGGGCCATCTTGAACATTGCCTAATTATTCAGGAGGCTGAGGCAGGGTAGCAGCTGCCTTGTCGGAAAATGTTACTGGTTGAACTTTTTAGTTGGTTGGTTGTGTATATGCTTTAGTGTGTGGGGTTCAGAGGATCTTCCCTTCTACTGTGGGCTCTGGGTGGGAGGAACTCAGCATCAGGCTCGCAGGGTGAGTGCTCCCTCACATGCTGACCATCTCGCTAGCCCAGGCTGCAGTCAGATCTTTGGAGCCAAGGATAACCCTGAAGTACTTGTTTGCTTGTGGAATGGGATGACAGCACGTGTGTGAGCGCCTGGTTTATGTAGTGCTGGGGATGGAGGCCCCGGGCCTATGCACACCGCCTCACACTCAGCCCTTACCTGGTTTATGTAGTGCTGGGGATGGAGGCCGAGGGCCTATGCACACCGCTGCACACTCAGCCCTTACCGGGTTTCATTTTCAGTCTTAGAAATTAACAGGAGGTGTGTGAGACTCAGTGCTGGACTCTGTTACTGTTGAGGTCATTGAGTGGGAGGGAGCTGGACCTTGACTTTAGGCTCTTAGAGTGTCCTGTCACCTGTGACAGATGGCCCCAAGGGTGACCTCACTCAAGTGGGATATGGGTTGGGGGCACTACTTTCACCCCTTGTCCTGGTCACGTGCCAGTGCAGGCTTCTACTGGCCTGATAGTTCCTGAAATAGCAGCCAGAAGCTGCCCAACCGGCCTTGTGAGTTAGGAGTTGCTGGGTGAGTGTCCCAGCCAGGCCCAGCCATATCCTGTCCTGCTTGTTGAGTGGGGGCTGTGACCATGGTGGGGCAGCCTGGTGGGTTCCTAGATAACAGGCCTGGGGGTTGTATGGTCTGGTTACCCACCCTCCACCTCACCCTGCCTCCTGGCTGTCCCAGCGCTGACCACCAGCCCCTGGGTTTGCTTTGTATTTGCTTTGGGCATGTGCATGTGTCTGTGTGCGACATAAATGCATTGCGTGCACATGGATGTCAGGTGGCCTCATTTGCTTCCTGAGCTGTGGTCCTGTTGATGCCTGAACAGCGTTGCATTCTGTGGATGGCATGCGGCAGTGCTTGTCCATTTGTGGAAGGACTTACTAGACTGGGCCCCTTTTCTCAGGATCCCCAAGTGTGGCCTGTGGTGAAGTCCCTGTGTTGGGTGACATGGTGACCTGTGGGTGCTGGCCTCAATGTAAGCATTTGCTCAGAGCAGTCATAGACTGCTGACCACCCAAGCTGTCTCTTTCAGAGTCCCCTCCTACATGTGGAGTTCCTGTCCCGTGGAGTTCCTTTTCCCGCAGAGTTCCTTTCCCGCAGAATTCCTTTCCCGCGAGTCCCACCTGTTCCCGCTGAGTCTCTTTCCAGCGAGTCCCACCTGTTCCCCGGAGTCCCCCTCCCCCGTTCCTGTGGAGTTGTCCCTTTCCCCGAGGGGTCTCACCTGTTCCACGGAGCCCCTCCATTCCCGTGGAGTCCCCCCTATTTCCGCGGAATCCCCTGTTCCCGCGGAGTTGTCCCTGTTCCCGTGGAGTCTCACGTGTTCCCGTGGAGTCTCACGTGTTCCCGTGGAGTCCTGTTCCCATAGAGTCCTACCTCTTCCCATGGTGTCCTCCTTGTTCCTGGGAGCCCTGTTGCTGCATGCACAGAGTTCTAAAGAGAAGGCATTTTGTATGGTGCCTCCATCTCAGACGCAGAGTTTGTTCTCTCGGTGTCTCATTCCTGTTCCCACAGTCCTGTCCCAGCCTATCCTCAGTTATCATAGTAGGTCACTGGGCCTACTCTCCCTGTTAGTCCCCAGGGGTCTGGGGACTCCAATTCAAAGCAACCCCAAGAGCTCTTTGCATGACAATAGGGACCCTGGAAGGGACTAAACCCCCATTCTTTTTTTACTTTTTCTGAGAGGGGGTTTCTCTGTGTAGCTTTGGAGCCTGTCCTGAAACTCGGTTCTGTAGACTAGGCTGGCCTCAAACTCACAGAGGTCCACCTGCTTCTGCCTTCCAGTGCTGGGATTAAAGGCGTGCGCTGCCACCATCTGGCTAACCTCCCCTTCCATTTTTAAGGCACTAGGTGACTCCATCCCTAAGGGAGCCCCTCCCAGTGGATGTGACTGTCACAGGGGAGGTGCCTCTGGCCCACAGTGGGGAAGGAGTCCATGGTGAGAGATGACATGGTAGGGAATACTGCCAAGCCATGAATGACTGAGCAGCTGGGGGAGATTGGTGGAAAGCCTTAGAAAGGATTCTGGGGACTGTGCTGTGGGTCCTGTCTGGTTGCCCCTGGACACAATGGGACATGGGCTTCACAGTCTGTCCTTGTAAGCTTCTTGGTCCCTACAATGTGCTGGTCAGTGTACCTACCTCAATGCCAGGAGCGCTTTCTCCGGCAATACCACCCAGCAATACGTAATGGCCCTTCTGCCTGCTTTCCCAGCCTTTGGAAGGTGCTGGAAGGAGGACCAGGAGTTTGAGATGAGCTTGGGCTACGTGAGACCCCGCTCAGCATTAGTTCAGCAGGTCTCCCTGGAAGGAGGACCCATAGCGTGGAGGGGCTGTGCTGCCTATGCCCATGGCTGTCTGGGTACTGCCGGTCCTCTGTGTGTGCCTGCCTTGTCCTGGGACAGGGTTTGTATTCCATCTACCCGCCCTCTGCCAGGCCTTCAGAGAAGACAATCTGTTTTGGGTTTCCCCACAGATGGAGGACGGCCACACACTCTTTGATTATGATGTGCGCCTCAATGACACAATCCAGCTGCTGGTGCGCCAGAGTCTGGCACTGCCTTCCAGTTCGAAGGAACGGGATTCTGAGCTCTCAGACTCTGACTCTGGCTATGGTGTGGGTCAGAGCGAGTCCGACAAGTCGTCCACGCATGGCGAAGGGGCTGCTGAAGGGGATGACAAGACTGTGTGGGAGGACACAGAACTGGGGCTGTACAAGGTGAGGTGTCTGTGTGGACGTGTGACAGTGGCCTCAACCCAGATTTGTACACTGCCAACCCTAGCAGTGCCTCAGCCTCCCTGCCCCTTACTACACTGACAGCCACACAGGTCTCTTGGGACTCTTTGGTGACCCACTATAGGCAGTACTGTAGGTCTCACCTCTACAGCTGGCATAGGAGCTGACATTTTGAACTCTCTCCAGTGAGTTGCATCAAGATTGAAATGCATTTGACGGGGGCTGGAGAGATGGCTCAGTGGTTAAGAGCATTGCCTGCTCTTCCAAAGGTCCTGAGTTCAATTCCCGGCAACCACATGGTGGCTCACAACCATCTGGAATGAGGTCTAGTGCCCTCTTCTGGCCTGCAGGCATACACACAGACAGAATATTGTATACATAATAAATAAATAAATAAATAATAAATAAATATTAAAAAAAAAAAAGAAATGCATTTGACAAACTGGAGGTTGAGCCTCTGTGGGAATCCCAGCCTGTGTTTGAGACTGAGCAGTCCCCCATGAGGGCCATCTTCTGCTCTCTGAGCACATCGCTCTTACTCCACCTGTTGGATTTGGCCTGTGTAGGCACAGCTTCTTATCCAGGACCCGGAGTTACATGGGAGATCCCGGTCTGGAGTGTGGAGGCTTGGAATGTGGCTCAGCACCTGGAGCCCAAGGACCGCTCGTGGTCCCTGTTTGTTTGCTGTCTGTCATCAAACCTCTGAGATAGTTGGAGCCATCAGAGCAGAAGTTTCTGGCAGCAGAGGGCGTTGTTGACTGAGTTCTGTTCAGAATTATCTAGTACCATCCGCTGTCCACAGCGCTGAGGCTTATTCCCAGCTGGAGCGTGGCGACCCACACTCGCCATCCCTGTACTCTGGGGGCTGAGGCAGCACCCTTGTGCTTGTGGGGCTAACCTGGAATAGAGAGTGAGACCTTTAGGCATAACTGGCTGCAGACACACTTGCCTGGTGTGTGGCCCTGTGATTCCCACCCCACTACCCAAATCCTCGACCCTGGTCCTGCCCTGCTGCCAGGTCCCTGAGCCTCCTTGCTTCCTGTAGGTTGAGGAGTACGTGGACGTGCGTGACAACACCTTGGGTGCATGGTTTGAGGCCCAGGTGGTCCAGGTGCAGAAGAGAGCCCCGTCCCAGGAAGAGCCTTGCAGCTCCAGTGCCAGCATGACTCCGGAGGATGACATCATGTACCATATCAAATATGATGAGTGAGTGCCATCGCCAGCTTGGTCCTGTCTCCAGTGTTGTCCAGAGCCCCTGTCTTGCATTCCCTGAGTGACTGTTGCCAGGGGACGAGGGTGGGGAAGCCACGGAAGGCTCATCCTTGGTGCCCTGTTTCCATTCGAGACTAGATGAAGGACCTCTAACCCTAGGATCCCAGCCGTGAGCTACCCTGCCTTGACCAGTTTTTGTTCAGTCTGTGAGGACATGAGGATCTCTTTAGAGTGTCCTTGGTCCCAGCCTTCTCAGGAGGGTCTTTGGTCTCAGTCCCTGGGCCAACAGGGCATTTCAGGTCCAGGTTCCACCTGATGACGTGGGTGGTGCCGAGAGAGCTCAGGCAAACAGCTAAGCCGTCCGTATACATCTTTTTCCTTGGGTCTGGGGGCCCTCCTGGCCTGGGGAGGCCGCAGAACTTCTTTGTAAGGCCAGCATCCTGTAGGTGGAGGATGTACTTGCTCTTTGCTACTTGGCTTCCTTCTGGTCATGCTGGGTTTCTGGTGTCAGCCCTTCACTAGAGGAGAGGTGCTGTCATTTCTGTTCATGGCCTTGGATGGTTCCTAAGACAGTGGATAGTGAGATCCCAGTGTATAAACTGAGGTCTTGTCGAGATTTCCATGTTCTAGCTCTGGGATCATTTGTGGGCCCAGCTTGTTGTTGACAAGCCATTTAGTCAAATATTTATTGACTTCATTGAAACAGCCATTTAGTGTGGAAATCCTCTGTGGAAGATGATTGCTGAGCTGAGTTCTGTGATGGACCTGAAAGTGAATGTCGCTCACGGCTGCCCGGAGAGCGCTCTGTGTGGAATAGTCACTTCTGGGGCACTGTGGAATCTTAGTCTGTACGCCTCCACACACATCCATGTTTACGCTCTATACGTGTGTGTGTGTGTGTGTGTGGAGAAAAACTCACTTTCCCTACCCATAGCTTCCCAGTCTGGTCCCCAGGTTAACCCTCCCAAGCTTCCTTGACTTGGCGGTCCTGGGCGCATGGCCACCTCACTTCTCTTCTGAGAGCCCAGAGCTGTTCCTCCTCCATCAGGCCTACCTCACTGAAAAGAGCCTTCTTTACAAATTGCCATCTCCCTGGTTGCTGGGATGGGGATCAAGTCATTTTGTGAGTCGCATTTGTCTACATGTTCCGCATACCTGGCCCACCAGCTTAGATGGCCAGGGTCACCCAGAATAGGGCTCCCCATGCTCCCACTTCTGGGCCTGTTTAGGGACAGCATGTGGTGGCCTCGGGTATCTGAGTTTGGGCCTTTGCTTGCAGCTACCCAGAGAGTGGAGTGGAGGTCATCAAAGCCAAGGATGTCCGTGCCCGTGCCCGCACTGTGATCCCGTGGGAGGACCTGGAGGTGGGCCAGGTGGTAATGGCCAACTACAATGTGGACTACCCCAGGAAGCGCGGCTTCTGGTATGACGTTGAGATCTGTAGGAAGCGGCAGACCAGGACGGCGCGGGAGCTGTATGGCAACGTCATGCTCTTGTGAGTAGCCTGCCTGGATAGGGACCCTGCTGTCCTCCCTTATCCTCACACCGGCCATCCCTAGTCACAGCTAGCTCTGCAGCCCTCAGACTTGGCTTTCTGGAGGCTTCTTTATTTATATTCATGTTGTTCCATACAGGAGGTGTCCCATACAGGAGGTGTCCCATACATACAGGAGGGTGTGGGCTTGAGTGGTTCTAGGAGGCCTGGAGCTCTGAGTGCCTGGGAACCTCCAAGGGGCCAAGGGCGTTTTCCTCATTTAGGGCACCAGATCTCATTCTCTTCAAACTCTTGACTCAGTGCTATGTAAACATCTCCAGAAGCCACATACAGCCTGTCTGTATAGTAGTGCCTGTCTGTATTGCTAGCCAGCAGTGCTGTAGGGACATGGGAATTTCTGGATGTCCTGGGCCAGCTAGCCCGACACGTGACATGTGTAGGCAAACGTGGAGGATGGACAGTGAGGGTGCTCTGACCTGTGTGTGGCATAGGAGTGCCCACATTACAGAAACACACATGCAGAAACCAATGGGGAGTAGATCTGAAAGCTTGTCTTCAGACAGGCTCAGCCCCACAGTGCTCTAATGTTTGGGGATGTTCTGCAGAAACGATTCTCAGCTCAACAACTGCCGGCTCATGTTTGTGGATGAAGTCTTTAAGATTGAGCTCCCTAATGAGAGGAGCCCCTTGATTGGGAACTCCTCGCAGCGTGAGTACTGGTCGGGCCCTGAGCACGCCTGGGTGGGGGGTTGGCAGACCAGGTGGCATGGTGGCCTGCTGCAGCCCCTCCTCCCCTCCGGAAAACAGGGAAGAGCGGCCCGTCCTGCCAGTACTGCAAGGACGACGAGAACAAACTGTGTCGCAAGTGTGCCTGCCATGTGTGCGGTGGGCGTGAGGCTCCTGAGAAGCAGGTGCTGTGTGACGAGTGTGACATGGCCTTCCACCTGTACTGCCTGCAGCCACCGCTTACTTGCGTCCCCCCTGAGCCTGAGTGGTGAGTGGTGGACTTCTGGGGTCCCCTGGACTGCCCAGAAGGGAGCTTAAGACAGGCCAGGAAGTGGCTCTCAGCCTATTGTGTGGTTCCACTTTCCTGAATGTAAATCCCAGAGCTTGAATCAAATGCTGGGTGTGGCTGTTAGGTGTGAGAGCTCGGTGCTGGGGAAGCAGTGAAAGGAGGGTCCTGGGGCCTGCTGCCTGCCAACTTGGCTGCAGGCTTAGGAGAGAGCACTGTGCTAGTGCCTAGCGTCGAGGGACTAGCTTGTGTACCTCACTCTGACTGCACTTGAGGACTTGAGTTCCTGGCACTGGTGTGGCTGCCTGAGCCTGTGCAGGTCAGGACACCCAAGGCTCTGGCAGCGGGGGAGGTGAGCGCTATCAGGTGACTCGTGCCCGCTCCCTTACTCAGCATTGTGATTTGCTTTTCGTTGTTCTTGTTTTGATTTGATTTTCTCAAGACAAGGTCTCACTGAGTAGCCTTGGCTGTCCTGGAACTCACTCTGTAGACCAGGCTGACCTGGAACTCACAGAGATCCACCTGCTTCTGCCTCCCTGGGAAAGGTGTGCTCTCTGGGGGGGTTCTTGAAATAACTTTGTTAGTTTTATTTTTGTATGTGTGACGATTAGGATACAACTCTTGGGAGTCAGTTCTCTCTACTATGTAGGCCCGGGGGATTAAATGCAAGTTCTGAGACTTGGTGGCAAGCCTCTACCCACTGATTATTTCACTGGTCTTCTCAGACAGGGCTTTTAGCAGAAGGTTGAGGAAACCCATGTCCTATAGTACATTGGCAGGGATTCTGTAGGGATGGTCCAGCCTGGAGTTTAACTCTGTGCCTCCAGCTGCCCATAGCTGCAGATGCTGGAGTATGTTCACTGCTGCCTGGGAACCTGAGTTTCCGATTTGATTCAGCTCTAGGGACCTTATCTCTGAACAGCCAGTGGGCTGTGTCCCCAGGGGGAAGGACTCCATCTGTCTTTTGCGGTTGGGTATCGGGCCATATACAGGTAGCATTCTTGTCCCAGGTACTGCCCCAGCTGCCGGACTGACTCCAGCGAGGTGGTGCAAGCAGGCGAGAAGCTGAAGCAAAGCAAGAAGAAGGCGAAGATGGCATCAGCCACGTCATCCTCCCGTCGGGACTGGGGCAAGGGCATGGCCTGTGTGGGCCGCACCAGAGAGTGTACCATCGTGCCCGCCAACCACTTCGGGCCCATCCCTGGCGTCCCTGTGGGCACCATGTGGCGCTTCAGAGTCCAGGTATCTGCTGATGTCATGGGGTTCCAGACATTTATCTTTGGAGTTTGTGTCTCAGATGTGGCTAGGGGCAGGAAATGCTGCTGAGTGGGGTTCAGGAGGCTGCCTGCTTGGAGGAGGGTGCCGGGTTGCAGCATGATCCTTTATCCCTATCACGGCCAGCTCTTCTATGGTAGCTGGACTCAGCCACTGGGCTAGTGTGTTCTTGTCAGGGACTGTCATCCTGGGGTCTGGACAGGGTCACAGTTCCCAGGAGATGGAATGGGTCTTTTGGCCGTGTTCACAGGTCAGTGAGTCTGGTGTGCATCGGCCGCATGTGGCGGGCATCCATGGGCGGAGTAATGATGGTGCTTACTCATTGGTGCTGGCTGGAGGCTACGAGGATGATGTGGTGAGACTGTGCCTCCTTCATCCCCATCCCCACCCCCTATGGCCTCCCACTCTGGCTCTCCCACGCCATCCACCATGACTGGTCCCTCAGGAGTTGCACCCTCTGTCTGTCCAGTCTCCCACTGGGGCCTGCCCTCAGTGCTGGCCAGAGTTGCCAGGTCGTGCTGTCAGCTTGTTGTGGTCACTCTTGTCGACCTAAGAGTGGTGACTGTGTGGCTCATTTTTGCTGGAGAAGATGTCATGAGCTGCTGCCTATAGCACAAAATAAGTCTTTCAATTTTATAAGGAAAGAAAAATCAGCTCTGAGAATGCCTTAGTGTGGTGAGGGCAACAGGAGCTGGGCTGGCTTCTTGTTCCAGGTTATCTTGTGGGGTGTGATGGCTGCTTAATTAGAAGGGAAGGTGGGAAATTACAGGGTGCGGCGAACATTCTGCACCCGCTGGTGGAGGGCGGCCTGACCCTTCTTGGCCTAGGAAGCACCCAAGCCCAGCAGCATGGTGATGGTGTCAGGTACTTCTCTCTGCCATCTGCCTCTAGCACTTTGCATCTTCCTCCCACTGAGCCTCTGTCCCGAGACACTTGACCACCAGTGTCTCGGCCTTTTCTCCAGCACATGCTGTCCTCCCGGGGTTTTAGGACATGGGGTCCTGTGTCTGGCTCATGTCACTGCTCATTGCCTTCAAGGACCCTTTGTGTGGGAACAGGTCTTAGTGGCATTTCAAAGACAAAACTTGGTCTCTTTCTGGTACGGTGCCTCGTGTCTTCTGGGCCTGCTGTGTGCCACTGGCCCTCATTCTTCACCCCTGCCACACTCGCACTATCTCTTCTGGGTCCACACCTCTTGTCTTCATTGATTCGGGAAGGGCTTACCCTCTGTGCCGCGGGCTCATGCAGCCCTTCTTCCCCATTGCAGGACAATGGCAATTCCTTCACATACACAGGGAGCGGTGGCCGGGACCTCTCAGGCAACAAGCGTACGGCAGGACAGTCCTCTGACCAGAAGCTTACCAACACCAACAGGTGTGTGGAAGCTTGGCATCCTGTGGAGGGTGGGGGCCCACATGCCTCTCATGGCAGCAGGTGATGGGGCACAGGTTTGCCTCATGATGGACCTCTGTCGTGGCCACAATCCCAGCCAGGGGTATCACTGCCATCTCGGTATGGAGGTGGCATCCCGGGCAGGGTCCTGCATTCTGCTCTGCTGCACAGCCAGGGTGTAGCTCAGCTCAGCACAGGGTTGTTGTATCAGAACATCCAGCTCAGTGGTTTAGAGGGAAAAGTTTTGTTACTGTAACAAATCCTGAAAATGTGAGCCTATAAGGAAGGTTTCTATTGAAGTAATAAACCCCTGGGTGGTGGCGCCTTTAATCTCAACAGAGGCAGAGACAGGTGGACCTTTGAGTTTGAGGCCAGCCTGGTCTACAAGAGCTAGGTCTACAAGAGTTTGAGGACAGCCAGGTCTGTTACATAGAGAAACCCTGTCTTTAAAAAACAAAACAAAACAAAACAAACAGTCCCCTCTCCCCTAGTTTATAGACAGGACAGCTTTTGTTACTGTAACAAGTCCTGAGACTATTAGCTTAGGGGCAAGGTTTCCTGGCCTATGCATCTGGGTTGTGCTGTGCTTGGTTGAGCCTTTGTCTTGAGGCTCCCACTAGGGGGCAACAGAAGGCAGCCGCATATGGCACTTGGGCAGGGCAGGAGAATGGAGAGGACACTGGAGTCCTACAGTCCTATTCTCTAGCACCTGCGATGCTGCCAGGCCCTGTGCCTTAAAAGTTACACTTCCTGTAGCTCTGCCCTCAACACAGGGACTTCTGGGAGATATTTAAAGAATTATTTCATGTGTATGAGTGAGTGTGTTGGCTGCAAGCCTATGCGCTGCTTGGGTGCAGTGCCCACGGAGGCCAGGAGAGGGCGCTGGATCCCATGGGTCTGGAGTCAGTGACCACCATGTAGGTGCTGGGAATCACACTGGGAGCTCTGCAAGAACACCTGCTCTACAGCCTCTGGGAAACCTGCGTGTCTTGTGGGGAGGTTAGATCAGACAGCAGCCTCCGGCAGCTTCTGGCCAATGCCAGTGATCTTGTCCTGGTGTCCTGTGGTGACGAGGTCTGTGTATCTGTGGGTGTCAGGGTGTGACTTCCCTTGTGTCGTGTTCCCCAAAGGGCTCTGGCGCTAAACTGCAACTCCAAAATCAGTGAGAATGGGGCAGAGGCCAAGGACTGGCGCCAGGGGAAGCCAGTGCGTGTCGTCCGCAACATGAAGGGTGGGAAACACAGCAAGTATGCGCCTGCAGAGGGCAACCGCTACGATGGCATCTACAAGGTGGGTCGTGAGCGCCTGCCTGTGTCCTGCGCGTGTCCCTGAGCTTCCTGCGCCACACTACACCAGCCACGCTGTTCTTTCCACAGGTGGTGAAGTACTGGCCAGAAAAGGGTAAATCTGGCTTCCTCGTGTGGCGCTACCTCCTGCGACGGGATGACGCGGAGCCTGGGCCCTGGACCCGGGAGGGCAAGGACCGCATGCGGCAGCTGGGGCTCACTATGCAGGTGTGTGGCCTGGAGGTCAGGGGCTCCAGCTCTCCCTCTCTGAGGCTTGTTTTCTGTGGAGCTCGTTGCCCGTCATGATGGGTGTTAGCAGTGGGGACACCTGTTCTACTTCCATTCTGCTTCCAGGCCCCAGATTTCCCAGGGTCCCTCTCTCCTCCAAACCAACTACCAGGAGGTCCTCAGAAGGCTGAGACCAGCCTGGGCTGCATAGCAAGACCCTCTGAACAAAACCAGGGCTAGTTCTGCAGCTCTGTGGGTAGAGCATTCTTCTATACAAACACTGCGTTCTGTCCCAGCCAAACATAATCAGGATCAGGGGTCCAAGGCTAGCCTGGCCTACGTGAGATCCTGCCTCAAACTCTTATGGGGACGAAGAGAGATGGCTCAGTTAATATCACAGGCTGATCTTGCAGAGGACCCCAGTTTGATACCTAGCACCCACATGGTGACTCAGCATGTGTAACAACAGTCCCTCCTCCACAGGTACTGCGTGTGTACACGCGCACACACACACACACACATACACACACACCTCCAGTCCTCTGTACACACTTCCAGCATGTATAACTCCAGTCCCGGAGCCTGTCCGCCTCTGCAGGCACTGCACACACCTGGCACAGACACTCGGAGGCAGTACACTATACACTGAAATAAATGTAGAAACGTTGAGGTTATGAGTGGCTGAGGGCACACAGGTGACACACCCAACCAGCCACACCTGTAGCTAATGTTGCTTCTGCCCCTCCAACCTCTGACCCATGACCCATCCAGCATCAGCAGAAAGAAGCTACCAGAACTGTTAGAAAACAGGCAGTGGGGGTGGGCAGGTAAGTATGCGAATCCCCTGCAGCCGCCTCCCCTCTTTGCAGCTGGATCATTTCATATCCACGTGGTGGGGGTGTTTGCCCTGGGGCTCTAGGCATGCTTGTATCCTGTTGAGGACTATTTAAGGAATCTTAGTGACCCACAGGACATGATGGCATCTGTCCCCAGGTGTTGGGGGCTGCACTCATGGTATAGCAGGATGTGCAGAAGTGTGTGCATGTTTTCACGCACGCAAGTGCTCGAAGTGGGCTGAAGGGCTGGGACAGGGTCAGTGGTAGGGTTGATAAGCTTAGTTTTTCTGTGATTTTTGAAGATCTCTCTTATGGCTGGCCTGTAACTCAACAGTCCTGCCTCAGTTTCCTGGGTGCTGGGTCACAGATGGGGTGCCACCACACCTGGCTTCATGTAGCCCAGGCTAGCCTTGAAGTTGCTACATAGCCCAGGATGACTTTTGACCTCCTGACCCTCTCTTGACCTCTAGTGCAGGGTGACAGGAGTGTGCTGTCACCCCTGGCTCTTGTTTTAGGTAGGGATCTTCCCCACATAGCCCTGACTGGCTTATAGGGGGGCTGTGGGGGGAAGATCCCAGCCCTGCCACACCTGGCCCTCATGCTTGTCCAGTAATGCCCTCAGGTACCCAAGAGCTTGTTAGGTGATGACATGGTGGCCCTGAAGGATGGGCTGGTCTTGACTTTTGCCTACAACCTCTCTCCCTTCAGTACCCCGAAGGCTACTTGGAGGCCTTGGCTAGCAAAGAGAAGAGTAAGAAGTGCCGAGCCAAGGCCTTGGAGAAGGAATCACCCTCTAAGACAGGCTCAGCCAAGCGGAAGCCCACAGGTGGGTGCCTATCCATCCCGACTTCCTGTCTATCCCACATGTCTGAAGTGTTCATTAGCTTCTCACAGATCTTGTTCTGTGTCCCCGCCCCCCAGGCCAGGCCACTAATACATGTATACCCAAGAAGAGCAAACTGGAGCCCTTCACGCTCCCTGTCGAACAGGCCAACCTCATCAAGGAGGACAAGAGCAATGCCAAGCTATGGGATGACGTGCTGAATTCACTTCAGGATGGGCCGGTGAGCCACGGGGACCCATCCTGTGGGCACACAGGGTCAGAGTCCATGTCCTAGCCTGCGGCAGCACTCCAGTATGGCCTTACTAGCCCGTTCCGTGGGTGTGCAGCTGCCTCTGGAACTTCCCATGTCCCACACTGAGACGGTCAGTGCAGGCCTTGTTTGTGCCTTCAGTGCGGAAAGTTCAGGTCTGGGCTGGGTCGGCTGCACAGGGCCACCACCCTGTACTGTCTGAGGCCTTCTGCCTTGTACCACAGTGTCCTCAGTGTTGCTGAGGCGCAAATGGGGCTGGGGTTTCTGTCTTGTGTTGGGATGAGGTGATGTAAGTGTGCCCTCCCATGCCCGCTCTGCAGTACCAGGTCTTTCTGAGCAAGGTGAACGAGGCTTTCCAGTGCATCTGCTGCCAGGAGCTGGTGTTCCGGCCTGTCACCACCGTGTGTCTGCACAATGTCTGCAAGGTGAGAAGGCGGGTGCCTGGACCCACTGCCTGCACTCTTGGGGTGTCATGGCTGTTCCCTCAGCCTGACTCTTTATAGAGACCCAGGATCCCATACACTAACCCCCTCTAGGACAGTGCCAGGGACTACCAGGAAGGAGCTCAGAGTCCTGAGTGGGCACGAGGGTCAGAAGGGAGCCCCCAGTGCCTGCGTGGCTGCTCCCAGTTGCCCCCTTCACCCTGCCTATGTCTCATGCAGGACTGCCTAGACAGGTCCTTCCGGGCCGAGGTGTACAGCTGCCCAGCCTGTCGCTGCGACCTGGACCACAGCTCCCCAACCCGGGTGAATCAGCCTTTGCAGACCATTCTCAACCAGCTCTTCCCTGGCTACGGCAGCGGCCGGTGATGTCGCGAACCAGGCGGGGGGCCCTCGATCCTGCTTCGAGTTCTTAGTGGGCTTAGCTTGAAGGTGTTGTCCTTCCACATCTGCCCCTGGTGACCCGTCTGCCTTGATCGCCAGTTAACCAGGAATACTGTATTCTGGCTACCACTTGGACGTCTGTCTTTCTTTTTTTCTTTTCTCTTTTTCATATATATATATATACATACATACAACGTCTGTAAGTCTCCAAGAGAAGGGAAAAAGAACCCTGCCTTTTCTTTTTCTTTTTTGGAGATGGATTTGGAAACTGTTGAGCCCGCACCAACCTCAGTGCCATGTTGTCAGTTCTCACCTTGAGAGCAGCTGCCTAGAAAAACTCTGCAACCATCTTTGAAAAGACCAGGTATATCTCCCTGGCAGCCATGCCTTAGGCCTTCACAGAAGACCTGAAGGGGACCCTGGGCCAGCCTCAGCCCTGGCGTTGCCATCCACATGGGTGCCTCTGGGGCCTAGCTGACACTCCTTCAGTGGGACTTGGCTGTGACCTCAGGTCTGGTCACCGGCTGAGGCGAAGCTGATCATGTGCCCTTAGCTCACCACCCCTTCCACTGTTATCAGCACTGAACTGTCCGATGCCCATCTTGGAAGTCTGGCCGCTGGGTACTCGCTGGCTGGGTTTCGTGGAGGCTTGAGGTGTAGCGACCAGTTCTCATCTTGTTTTTAACTCGGCAACTGAAAATTATGAGGGTTTTTTTTTTTATTTTTCTAAGGGGATGAATGGTTTCCTTGATGAATTTCTTTAGTTACAGCCTGTACTGAAGAAGACTGTGATTGTGTGGTTGGTTTTTGTTTTCTTTTGTAACTGGTAACTTTGCCAAAGTGTGCAGGCCGTACCTCAGTAGAGAATGGGAACTGAGCACGTAACCTAACTGCAGGCAGACCGGACAGCACTGTTTTAAGGGTCACTTTTTGTGTTTCGTGGGGTTTTGTTTTGTTTTGTTTGTTTGTTTTGTTAGATTGTTAACATGTTAGGGAAGAAAACAGAATTCCATGTGTCCATGTGAATATTTTCTGAAGTTCAGTTTTTTGGTTCAGATTTTAGATCTCAATTAAATTTTTTTCTGCAGATTTGAATATTTGTGTTTGCTTGTTTTTGAACTGCTTTGTGGTGCTGTCATGAAAATGAGAAGAGAGGCTGATGAGACAATGGGCATCAGGGCACAGCTTGGTTGTGCAGATAAAGTTGTGTGGACAGCAGTTCACTCATCCCCGCTGCTGCTCTTGCTGCAGTCAGACAGAAACTCCATAGTCCTGAAAGCAGAGAACAGTTTGCTGGCACCTGTTCTGGAAGGTTCTTCCATTGTACAGACGACCCCACAGGTTTATAGAAAACTGGATGTTGACGATGTACAGGGAAAAGGCAGTGCTAACTTGTGAGAGCAGAGGCTTTGGCCCTGGGGGTTGGAGTGTGGGAGGGCTTGGCTGGCTGCTGGTGGGGCTGGTGTGCCTGCAGAAGGGTCTGGGCTCCTGTGGAGTCATGGGTGGGTGGGTGAGCATGGTGGGGGGGGCACAGTAGGTTGCTCAGAATGGTTGAGGGGGGAGCCTCAGCTGCTGGTCTCAAGCCAAGGATGAGTCTGCTTTTTAAAAAAAATTACACGTGGGATTGGAGAGGTCAGAGCACTGGCTGCTCTTGCAGAGGACTTGGGTTTGATTCCCAGGACCCACATGGTGATGCAACAACCTGCTTTGTAATGCCAGTTCCCAAGCATATGCTGCCCTCTTCTGGCCTCTACAGGTAACTCCATGCAACGTACAGGCAAAACACCATACACATAAGTCTAAAAAAATTTTAAAAAGTTGAAGTCATTTCACCATATGGGACTTGAGGATCGAACTTGGGTTGTCAAGCTTGGCCAAAAGTACCTTGATCCACACACACAGCCCTCAGCAACATGATGTTATTTTTAAGGAACGTGGGGCGGAGCTGGGTGTGTTGCGGTATGCCTCTTAGCCTGTGTTTGTGTGACTGAGACATAAAGATCGCTACTGCAGGATTAGTCTGGGCTACAAAGTGATACTTGGTCATGGTGGTACAGGCAGGTCTGAGTTTGAGACCAGCGTGATTGACAGCCGGGGCTGCATAGAGGAATCCTGTCTCGGAAACCACAGTTGTTCCATCCTTAGTGTGAGCCCTCGAGACTGATCTGGAATTCGGGCTTACCTCCCTCTGCTTCCCCAGCGCTACAACTGAGGGGCATGGGCCGCCATGTTAACTGCTGAGCCAGCCTCCCTAGCTCAGACAAGTGCCCATACCACGTTGTAGGAATCCCGAGGGCAGAGCAAATCTAATAAAACCCCACTCCTCATTAAAAGCAAACCATTACTAATGGTAGTCCTCCACAAAGGTCATGTGCCCTTGAAAATGTGGTGGTGAGCACACGATTCTCTTCCTTTGTGCTGAGTTGGTTTGTGTGTGCCATCTATGGAAACCAGAACAAAGGATGCTCCCCTCACCACTTGGGGAACTGGGATCAGACAGGTCCTAGATGGCAAGCTTACTGAGCTGTTTCACCTGCCTGGTTGAGACAGGGTCTTTGTTGGGTTTTCATTGTGTAGCCATGGCTGTCCTGGAACTTGCTCTGAAGACTTAGGATCCACCTGCCTCTGCCTCCCAGTGCCGGGATTAGAGGAGTGTGCCACCATCTCTTAGCTGAAGAGACGTGCTGACCTGGCGTGAGGGCAGGGTGGTGGTGACGGCATGACAATGGCTGTTTCCCTTGCGGTTATCGCACAGTGAGGAGCAGGAAAAACGGTTCAAGAGCCACCCAGTTTGGAATAATTTCTGCATAACCTTGGAGTTAGTGACCGACTGGGAGTTGGGGTGGGGAAAGGGGAAGCAAAGGACTTGCTCCAAGGAGGGTACATTCAGGTATAGGTGTTAAAGTCGAAGGATTTCTAGTCCTGTCCCATAAAACGGGCACACCTTCACCCTTGTTTGATCAAGAACAAAGGAAATGATGGTGAACCAGCAAGCAGGCTTAGTGGGTAAAGGGACTTGCAACCAAGTCTGACAAAGCTGAATTTGATCCTGGTACCCAGATGGCAGGAGAGTCGGCTCCCAAGGGACCCCCTAACAGGGCACATATACACAAAATAATTAGAAATGTAAAACTATAGATACATATTGATGGGGGATACTATCAAACCTTAAGAAACCCTCCATAGAGCCATAGCTGTAGCTGGGATCTGGTGCACAGGTCCCCAGTTTGGAACATACTGAGTTGGAGAGAGCAGGACCGAGAAAGACTGCGAAATAGAGAAAAAGCACCACTCCTTTCATTGAATTATTGCAAAGTTTTCCGTGGGCACCGCTATCACTTCATGGGGGGTACTGAGGCCCAGTTAGGTGACTTCCCCAGAGACACGCCCCAGCAGAACTCACGCACGTTAAGGGGAATGGCGGACCCCCTGTACCCTAGTTCGGCCCCTTGCAAAGCTGTGTTCAAATCCCGGCTCCGGGTCTTGATCCAGCGGGTCTCGAACCGCTGTCTCTCGGCGTCTCGGACCCACGGCCGAGGTTGTGCAGGATATCACGTACTCAACAACCGCCTGATAACAGGGCGGGGTCTGGAGCAGCAAGACAGTGATTGACATTCAGTTCTAACCAATAGGCGCCCAGAGGCCGGTACCGAACGCCAATCCGCGCTTCTCTCAGCGGGGTCCCTGAGAACGCGCTTGTCAATCTGACTGCGCCCCGGGCTATACTTGTCCCGGCCGTTGTTGGATTGGCTGCGTCCCTTTAGACGGACGTGCTCAGCACCCATTGAGAGCTGAGCCGGTCACCGGGCACGTGAGTGGGTGCCGGAGCGTCCTCGCGTTTGGACCAATGACGGGAAGAGGTCGAGTGCCTGCGCCCGCCCCAGGTCGCGGAGGGCGGGACCGCGCGGTGTTGATTAGGGGAGGGGCGGAGTTGTCAGCCGCCACCAATCATCGTGCGGGCGTGGGCTGGATACCCAATGGCGGCCTAGGAGGAGCCGTCGCCCCGCCCCGTGGAGCTTCGTCTCCCCGCCCGAGGCGCTTACTGAGGGCTCGGCCGCTAGCAAGCGAACGATCGAACCAGCGAACGAACCCGGCGAAGGCAAGAGCCGAGCGGCCCGCCCGCGGGAGCAAGGCCCGGCGGGGGCGACGCAAGGCGGCCGAGCACGCGCAGCTCAGCCCGCTGTCCACACTCGGAGCCGCGCGCGCCGCGCCAGGTGAGTGTGCGATCGGCGGCGGTGCTCTGCAGCTTCCAGGCCCCTCCGGGGGGCCGCGCAGCCGCCATGCCTGCCCCCGCGCCGCGCCTCGCGGACACCGCTCATACTTTAGGCCGAGGCTTCGGCTGCGGCCTACTGGACTCCGCGAGGCGGTAGGGTGCGCCGGGCTTTTGTCCGCTCGGGCGAAGCTGCTGTTTGTTGATCGACAAAACGACTGTGTGCCTGGGAAAGGAGGGTGTGTTTTTTTTGGAGGGGGAGGGGGGGACGATGGGGCCGGACAAAGGCGGGGCGGGGGCGGGGCGCCGCGTCCCCTTTCCAGGGCACAAAAGATGACAGCGTGGGTGGCCTGCTCTAGCCATCCCTTCTGCACCCCTAAATCCTTGAAAATATAAAGCTCACTCCCTTGCTCCTCCCCGCTTGGATTTTTATTCCCTTTAGGGGACACAGATGCTGTCCCCTCCAAACACCCCATCCATCATGCCTTCCAAACTTGACCCCCTCTTGTCCCAGAATCCCTAAATCACTATGTAATCTGCATTTTTTTTAAAGTTAAAATAAATAGCGCACGTATCCACTGTTGCAATGGCAGACTTCTCACCTCGCATCCATTCCCGGGTCCCTCTGCCTTCAAGTCCTCTTCTCTCTGTAAACCATGAATTGTGCAGTTGCCCGCGTGCTTACCCGTCCAGGGCATCCCCCGGCAGACAGCCCCGTTTCTCCTTCCCAGGAAGCCAGCAGAGTCGGGGACAGCTGGGGATGACTTTCCTACTGTTGTAGGAAAGCTGGGGGCTTCTTGGCAGGGTAGGGGTCTGCCGGGCGGGGGGCTACGGTAAGCCAGGTACGAGTATGAGGGATTCTGGTCTGCCTGGGTCCTGGTTTGCAGATTTGATGGTGTAAGCTGTGCGGTTAGAGCATTGCCGCTCCTGGGCTTCCTCTTGTCCCATCTGTCTGACTGGGGGAGGGGAAAAGATGGCATTGCTTTAATAATTCAGTAACACCTGGGGAAGTGTCTAGCCCGAGTTGCTAGTTTTTTTTCAGCTAGCGAGAGGGTGGATCCTGTAACATGTTTCAAAAAGCAAAAAGAAAGTGTATCTTTCCTTGTGTGCAAGTGGGGTTTGCTCAGCCTGCAGCCTGCAGCCTGCAGCCTGGTATCTGCACCTTCTTAGGCTCTGAGGATCTTGGTTGCAGAAGGTTCGGGGCCCCGGGATGTCTCTGTGTCCCATAGTTGTGTATCTGACAGTCCCCGGGCTGGAGCCTGCTCTGTCCCCAAACAACTCTTGCCTCAAAATGGGATCATTACGTGGTCTTCAGAGGCTTCCCCCACCAGGAAAGGGTAATCACTCTCTTTAATTCTCCAGTAATTGCTGCCTTCAGAGCCACCAGGAGGGCGTGTCCCCAGCCAGGGCCAGCGTTTTCTTTCCCATCCTGCACTAGCAGCAGCCCGCTTTCGTCTTCTCTTCTCCTTTCTCCAAACCTTGTGGGTGCCCCGTATTGAAACTTAGGGGGTCCTTTTGGAAGACACTGGGTGAGTTTCCATGTTCCCTCTGGGAGGGCACAAAGCCTGAGGCAAGAGATTGGGTTACCCAGATTGCCATAGGGTGTTTGGTGTGTGGGGAGAAGTGTCCACGTGCCAGGTGCTCCGTGTTCCTGTGTGAGTTTGTGCATGCAGACCTGGGAATGTACAGGTCTGAGTACAAGTGGTTTTCTAGTTCTTTCCTCCCAGGGTGATGGCTGCTGACTACATAGAGGGCTCTATCCTGTGGCTGTCTGTCCCCAACCCATAGCTTGTCTCCTTCCCGTACCAGGGGCCCTCTATTCTCCCAGCCCACCCAGCCCTGACCTAGACTTCTGGTCCTTGCCCCCGCCCTGCTGGGCTCTGAT